TTGAACTATGCAGGTCCACTTATACTCAGATTTTTTTCAATAAATACGTACTATGTACTACAGTCCTACACGATCTAAGGTTGGTTAAATCCATGGTTGCAGAATCACAGATACGGAGGGCCAACTGTGAAGTTATAGGGGATTTTCAGTAGCACTCCCATGTTGTTCAAGATTAAAAGTAAAAAGATAGAAAAAATAGATTAAAAGTAAAAAGACAGAAAAAGACATACTCTGGTAACACTAGTCAAAAGAAAGCTGGAGCAGCTATATTAATAGCAAAGTAGATTTCAGAGCAAAGAGTATTATTGAAATAAAGAAGGTAATTTCACAATGGTAAAGGAGTCAATCAAAATGCACAATCCTCAGTATATGCAACGAATAACAGAGCTTCAAAATACGTGAAGTAGGGCTTCCCTGGTGGCGCAGTGGTTGAGAGTCCGCCTGCCGATGTAGGGTACACGGGTTCGTGCCCTGGTCCGGGAAAATCCCACATGCCGCGGAGCGGCTGGGCCCGTGAGCCATGGCCGCTGAGCCTGTGCGTCTGGAGCCTGTGCTCTGCAACGGGAGAAGCCACAACAGTGAGAGGCCCGCGTACCGCAAAAAAAAAAAAAATATGTGAAGTAAAAACTGATAGAACTTCTAGAAGAAACAGACAAATCGACAACTATAGCTGGAGATTTCAATTACCCACTCTCAATATTACTGATAGGACAGGTAGGAAGAAAACCAGCAAGGATCGAATAGACTTGAACAACACTTTCAATCAATTTGAACTGATTGACATTTATGGAACACTTAACCATTCTTCACACTCCACCTTGATTTTTTCGGACAACAGTAACATACTCATGCCTTTTTTTTTTTTTTTTTGCGGTACGCGGGCCTCTCACTGCCGTGGCCTCTCCCGTTGCGGAGCACAGGCTCCGGACGCGCAGGCCCAGGGGCCATGGCTCACGGGCCCAGCCGCTCCATGGCATGTGGGATCCTCCCAGACCGGGGCATGAACCCGTGTCCCCAGCATCGGCAGGCGGACTCTCAACCACTGCGCCACCAGGGAAGCCCCATACTCGTGCCTTTTATGTGCACATGAAACATTTCCCAAGATAGGCTATACTAGGTTATAGAAAAAGTCTTGTTAAATTTAAGATGATTCAATCATACAAACTAAACATATACTTAGGCCACAATGGAATGAAAGTAGAAACAAATAACAGAAAGATCTTTGGAAAACTCCCAAATATTTAAAAACACACTTTTGGGAATTCCCTGGCAGTCCACTGGTTAGGACTCAGCACTTTCACTGCTGTGGCCTGGGTTCAATACCTGGTCAGGGAACTAAGATCCTGCAAGCTGCCTGGCGTGGCCTAAATAAATAAATATAAAAACAATAAAAACACACTTTTACATAGTCCACAGGTCAAAGAAGAAACTACAAGGTAATTTCAAAGTATTTTGAACTGAATTAAAATGAAAACATAACATAGCAGAACTTCTGGAATATTTTTGTTTGTTTGTTTTGTTTTTTACTTGTGGAATATTGTTAGAGGAGTATTTGGGAGAAACTAATAGCACTAAATGCCTAAACTAGAAATGAAGAAAATGTCTCAAATTAATCAGCTTCTGCCTTAGGGAACTAGGAAAAGAAGAGCAAACTAAACCCAAAATAAACAAAAGAACATAATAAAGATCAAAACAGAAATCAATGAAATTGAACACAGAAGAATAATAAAGTCATCAACCAGCGTTTGCTATGTGCCAGGCCCAGTACTAGGTCCTGAGCATACGTATATGGTCCCATTCTTTAAGGATAACTCAACTAGTAGGTTAGATGGACATCAACTAAAAAATAAGCACATCAGAATGCTAATAACGTTACCATGATGGAATGCTCAAGGTGCCCACCTTACCTCTGAGAGAAGCCACTATGGGTGCTTAGGGAAGGGGAGGTGAGAATGGTGGCTGAGTTCAGGCTCTAAAGATGCAGACCTTCATCTAAAGATGTGTGACCTTGGGCAAATAATCTAACCTTGTCTTCCTTTTCTATAACATGGATATAAAAAATGTCCCTGCCCTGCATAGGGCTGTTGTAAGGATTAAAGAATGCCTAGCACATAGTAAATCCTCATCAAATGTCAGATACCATCATAAAGACACAGGTTCTGGGACTTCCCTGGCTGTCTAGTGGTTAAGACTCCACTGCAGGGGCCCAGATTTGATTCCTGGTTGGTTGGGGAACTAAGATCCCATCCATCAGAGGGGAAGACATGCATAAAGACAGAAAATGGTGAAAGACAGAAGTAACAGCCAGGAAGGGCTCCCGCTCCCCAAGAAACTGCACTCATGTCTTAGTATTATCCAGAGCCAAGCAGACATAGGCACATAGTAGGTTTATAATTTGTTACAACTTGAAACCGAGTTTTTATGGTGTAGTGGGTACTAATTAGCTGAATACAAAGTGTAAATAGCTAATTTTCTCAAGGCATGGTATGATGTGGGTTGAGCACAGGCTCTGCAGTCAATTGCCTTGCTCAGATGCATGTTCTGCCACTTACTGGCTATATAACTCGTGCAAGTTCCTCAACTCCAACTTCAGTCTCCTCTGCAAAATGGGCACAAAGGGTACCTACTTTACAGGGGTACATAGAATATTAGATGAAATAATGTATGTATCTTACCACACTGCCTTGTTCAAAGGTAACAGTATATCATGATACGGTTTTGGGGTTCAAATCCTGGTTCTATTACTAGTTCGGTGATCTTGGGCAATACTAATCCCTCCATCTTCTCCCCTTTTCTCTCCCGAATAGGTAGGGTTCTGAGTGAGATAAGCCTTGTTTAGTAGATCATTTATCTGTGGTGGCAGACTTTATTAAACAAAACTTTAATGGATACTATATCCCTAGTTTGCTTTTAAGTCAGAGAATTTTCTCAAAAGCTCACTGTAAAGACTGTAGGCTTTTTTTTTTTTTGCGGTACGCAGGCCTCTCACTGTTGTGGCCTCTCCCGCTGCGGAGCACAGGCTCCGGACTCCGGACGCGCAGGCTCAACGGCCATGGGTCATGGGCTCAGCCACTCTGCAGCATGTGGGATCTTCCTAGACTGGGGCACGGACACGTGTCCCTTGCATCAGCAGGCGGACTCTCAACCACTGCGCCACCAGGGAAGCCCGAGACTGTAAGCTTTTTTACAAATATTAACTCTAAATTCTCACTGCAACTCCAAGAGGTACTTTTATTGTCCCCATTCTATGCATAAGGAAACTGAGGCAGAGAGGTTAAGTAGCTTGCCCAAGGTCACAGGGACAAGTGGTATCAGGATTCAAACCCAGGCAGTCTCACTTTAGCAACTACTGCTATGACTATTGAGGCCTACGTGGAGAAAAAAGCCAGAATAACCTGTTCATAAAAAGTCTACAGGTACGTATGTTGCAACCTGAAGTTCGGCAAAGGGTGTGACCTAGAATACTTGCTGACAGCTTTGCTTCAGCTACACTTGGGCACCCAGCCCTACCCTGAGAATTTACACTAAAAACATTGTTCAGACTTTACTGTGCATCTACCATCCAAAGACTGTTTATGTGGGAATGCCAAGATGTGCGCTGGACACAGGGCTAACCCTGGGGATACAGGACCAGTCCACTTCCTAGTTGCAGATTTGGGCAATTATTTAGCCTTTCTCCTCCTGGGTTTTCCTATCAAAGCAGACAGATTAATACCCACTTCAGGGCTGTGATTAACACATGCCAAGTGCTTAGAAGAGCCCGGCACAGGTAAGCACTAAAAGTGTTGCTACTTGCTCAGGTAAAGCAACCGAGGTTCTCCAATAATCATAGCCACAAACTAGCTCCTATTCTTTACCCTCTCGTCCCTGAACGCTGTAAAACTGTACATCTGGACATTCCATGTGTTTGGGCCACAACCCACCAAACCCCCAAATCCCCCTTAAACCTGACCCCAATGGATTCTAAATGGGTTATTCTACCTCCCCATCTTGTAAAATTCACTTAAGAGCCCCACCCAAGATCTAGACTCTACCTTCTAGATGGTTCCCTGCTAGTCCCCATCCTTCAGTCTTATGACTTCCCTATAATGCTGGCAGCCTGTACACAGGCTTGACAAAGTCCTACTGTGACTCAAGCATAGCTCTTTGACACAGCAGAGGATTAACTACCCCAACAGCTGCTTTTAACTTTTTAACATCTGCACCACATCTTGTACAATGGTTAGGTCTCATCAGCACGAAGACCTCTCATTCAACACCCATGTCCAGTGGCCTAATGTATGTCTCTAAGACCATACCTTAAGTTACCTATTTACAACTGGTTAGGATACATGCATTTTCCCAAGTAGTAGTACACAAATGCCAATATTAAACGCAAGAGCTCAGGGCCTTTAATTAGTGCAGAATCAATCAGGTATTAACTGCTTGAACAAGCAGCTTCATTTATAGAATACTCATTTAGCAGTCATATTTGCATAGAAAGAACCACATAGGGAATTCCCTGGTGTTTTCACTGAAAGGGGACCAGGTCTGATCCCTGGTTGGGGGACTTAAGATCCTGCAAGCCACATGGTGCGGCCAAAAAAAAGAACCACACAATTATGTATATAGTCACCTTTATTGTAATTCACCCGAGTACATTAGAAACTGACATGGATCTCTTTATTAAGACATGTAGATTCTCATGGGCATCTGCTTTCCACTTTTAAGAAAATCCAGTTTACTTGAGAATGGCCAAGATCTTAGTATCAGTACATCAAGTTTCCACCTCATAGGAAACCTGAAAGGGTCTCTTGGGACTCCCAGGTCACTATACTGTCCACAGACCTGCCCACACAAGTGTCTTCTGGAATTCCTTCTAAATTTCAAAAGGCACCTGGTTAACAGAACACTATTACTCTGCTGGTTTTTAAGGTGCAATTGCAGGGTTAAACATTGTGCTGAAACTTAACATTTTCAAATTGCCCAGGCTGATCTTCCAAAAATAGTGTATTACTCACTTTACTAATCTCCCTGCCAAATAAAGGCCCCCAAAGCATTGTTAACTGCACAAGTCAGGTAAGGCTCCTCTTCTCTCCTGAATGAAAGGACAAAAAAATAATTAGATTCATACATAACAATCTTATTTCACTTTTAAATTTTGGTATACTAGATGTCTCTCTGCATGGTTTGTCTCCTCAGTCATCGTCCACAGGACTCTGAGAAGCTGTAGGAATATGCAGGCGCAGACTCAAGGCCCAGTTTCATCTCCAACGTTGTGGAAAGGGACTGTACATCATGGGGCAGAGCCCTATGCTCCCCTATGCCACCAGGACAGAGCCCGGGGAGAGTGACCTCCCGGGGTATCCACATTGGAATGTCTGACTGAACAGTTACTGTAAGTTCCCATACGGACAAGTTTCGTTCTGAGAGCAGACAAAGTACAACAAAGTTAGCCTAGGTACCCAATTAACACGATCGACCTTATAGTACTGTACTGTAATAGGTTTATAATACTTTTCACACAAATACATAAAAAACACAAAGAAATAAAGTAAACATTTTAAATCTTACAGTACCTTGAAAAGTACAACAGCTAGCATATAGGGGCTGGCCTCGAGTGAACAGGCCATGAATTACTGACTGGAGGAAGAGGAGGTGGGAGATGGCAGAGCTGAAGGATCATTAGCAACAGGAGATGGAGGGCAGGCTGCAATTTCACTCATGCCTGACACTGATGGCACAGGTTCTGGTCCCTTGCTGGATTCAACTCTATCTACCCTCCTGAAAAAATGATCCAGTGATATCTGGGTACTAGCTCTTCTTCTCATCAGATGACACAGTAGCACTGCATTGCATTCTGAATGGTTGCTGCAACTTTCGTGTACCATTCTACGTCCAGGTCCTCTGCCTCAAAAACTAACAGTGCCTCCTCAAATAAAGAAAACCCCCTTACCACTTCCTGCATCATGAATCTCTTTCATTCTTCAGCAGTACCACCTATGTCACTGCTGCTTTTATGCTTGTTTCCAGACATCCTGGGCTTAAAATACAGATACTGTCCTACTATACTCCATACAGTACTGTAAAGTATACTAAAACACAACCACTTGTAGAGGATGCACGCGTGTGACAATGTACACCAGACACCTGAATTAACTTACATGATTGGACATGTTTGCATCTTAAGGTTTGTATGTAAAGGACTTACTGTACCCCTGTTTTCAAGACATTTCATTTCCCCTCATCCCATACTACATGTACACCTGAGGGAAGTTCAAGTCCACCAGGATTAGCAACTGTTTCTAATAACTTCCAAAAGTTATGCTTTATCTATCATAGTTACTGTCATTGTAGACATATGCTGGCGCAACTTAACCCCCCACATCACAGAAAGGAACTGTACAAGAGACCAAACCCTTAGTTCCCCTGGAAAGATCGAGAGGGTACACACATTACATGGCTCATGTGACAGCTTTGCTGTCTTTGGTTAAGTCATTCAAAATTGTTCCATTTACAAAACAGAAATCTCTCCTCTATCGTGAGTATTAAAGATGTGAAGATAAACCTTAAAAAGCCATCTTCCTGGAATATGAGCATACATCTAAGAAACTGTCAACATGCCTACAAAAAAAAGTAGCAAAATATCTAGATGCATTGAACGGCACCATCTTCATGAAATGGAACTGAGCTCAAAATGATCAAATGTCTTATGCAAAATGTTGGCAGGCAAACACTGATAGGCCAAAAGGAATCCATAGATTTACTTACCCCGAATCAAATTATTTGGAATCCCAAACGAATGCTGCAAAACAAAGCAGGTAAGAGCTTTAATCCAGCAGTACACCGAAACTGATTAAAACAAATTTTTCATTCACTTCGGATCAACCTAGATTCAGATATGCTGCTCTAGAGAGCTGTTTCCTGCATGGTTTGTCTCCTCAGTCATTGTCCACAGGACTCTGAGAAGCTGTAGGAATATGCAGGCGCAGACTCAAGGCCCAGCTTCATCTCCAACGTCGTGGAAAGGGACTGTACATCATGGGGCAGAGCCCTATGCTCCCATACGCCACCAGGACAGAGCCCGGGGAGAGTGACCTCCCGGGGTATCCACGTTGGTTACTATACTTTAGAAATTAACTTCACCAAGTTGACAGCTATTTCGCAGGAGTATCTATAAGGGAGTAGAACCCAATCACCCCAGAGTGTCAAGAGTTGAGCGCAAGACTAACGAGCAGACACATCAATAATCTGAATTTTCAACCAGGTACTCCAAAGACATCTAGGAACCCCAACAGGCGATTAGCTCGCTGCCGAAGAACAGCAAATAACAGCCGTTATGACGCCAGTAAAGGCTCCTACCTTTAACCCGATCGCCTGAAATAAAAAAATTGCCCCAAAAGAAAAAATAAATGGCACCAGAGTTAAGAATAACCCGAATCGGGAACAAAATGGCCTGCATTCAACTCCACTGAAGACGCTAACGCGCCTCCTAGGAAGCAGCATAATGGCGCAACAGGAAATGAGGGCGGGCGCTGCGCACTTAGCTTGTTGGCGCGGAGGGTCGCGCCCTGCAGGCCTGGGAATTCCCGCGCTAGCGACCCTTGGTTATGGCCAAGACCCGCGGCCGGCGAGGCCTCCCCCGCCCACACCCGACCCGGCCCTATTTTTGCGAGTAAGGGTAGTCAGCATGGACGCCGAAGATTCGGAATCATTCTAAACAGTATGATCCCCAAAGAAAAGGCTGAGTGGCAGACCCAGTACCAGACAAAACGCTGAAGAAGCAGGCATCTAATCACACTCACCTATCACCCAACGAGGATGACAACAGCCTTCCCCGAAAAGAACAAACGGTTTCAAGGCGTCGGTATTTATACCTTCTGAAGCCCTCGGAAGTCAAGAAATCTCTACTGCGCCTGCGCCGCGTCATGCGCAGTTAGGGAGTTAGAAATTCGCTAAGGGTGCTGGGACTCCACCGCAGGTTAAGCCCCACCCCTACCTGGCGTAGAGGCATCTCGCGATACTAGAGACTTCGCGCGGGACCTTGAAAGTGCAAGTTACAGAAAGAGAGGTTTTGAAGTATTTAGGCTGATGGGTAAGTGCTGGATCGGGTATTTACGGCTCTACGATCAGTTCACCAATCTGGAGGATAAGCCGTTAAATAAAGTCAAAAAACCTTTGGATTAATAAGTGTTCTGAATAGAAAAGGCATTTAAGCCTTGTCTGAAAAAAAAAACAGAAAAAGAAAAAGGCATCTAGAGAAATGCAGTCTCAAAAGGGATTGAATCTACCCTGTTACGTGTGAAATAAACATTTGATAAATGGCGTTGGTAAATAAGTCGGAAGTACTAAACTGTACACTTAAAAATGGTTTAACTGGTAGATTTTATGTTACGTGTATTTTAACACATATAGACACCTAATATAAAGAAGGCAGGCAAAGAATCCTGAAGATAAATGTTACATGTGAAATATTGCAAATGCGATAGAATTCCGAATAAATGTTAGATAAATTGACGTAGAGCCATCACAGCTCTGCTATAACGAGTAGAAACATTTATGGTGTTCTTCCTATAAGATTTTGTGCTGGGTGCTTTAAATACATTATTTACCATCACAGCAATTCTAAGACATTGGTATTATTACCCAGTTAAAAAAATTTTTTTTTAATAGCATGCATTTTCTTTCTTTCTTGCACTTATTTTTGGCTGTGTTGGGTCTTCCTTGCTGCGCGCAGGCTTTCTCTAGTTGTGGCGAGTGGGGGCTACTCTTCATTGCGGTGCACGGGGTTCTCACTGCGGTGGCTTCTCTTGTTGTGGAGCACGGGCTCTAGGTTCACGGGCTTCAGTAGTTGTGGCTCGTGGGCTCTAGAGCGCAGGCTTAGTAGTTTCGGTGCACAGGCTTAGTTGCTCTGCGGCATGTGGGATCTTCCCGAACCAGGACTCGAACCTGTGTCCCCTGAATTGGCAGGCAGATTCTTAACCACTGCGCAACCAGGGAAGCCCTATTACCCAGGTTTTAAGATGCGAAACAGACCCAGAGCAGTGGTTCTCTAAGTGTAGTTGGCCAACTGTGGGGTCCCTGAGGTCAAAACTATTTCATAATAATACTTAGACTTTTTCTGCCTCCTTCACTATGTTGAGTCTACACTGATGTAAAATGAAAATGTGGGTTAAACTGCTGGTGTCTTAGTTTGCTTCAAAGCCCTGTCACCAAACTGTACTGGTGGTCACTGTATTCTTCATCAACACAAATTTAAAATTTAAAAAAAAGTCAGTTTCACCGAAGGACGTCCTTGATGAAGAAGTAAAAATCATTAATTTTACTAATTCTTGCCTTTTGAGTATCTGTCTTTTATTATTTATTTGGCTGTGTTGGGTCTTCGTTGCTATGCACGGGCTTTCTCTAGTTGTGGTGAGCAGGGGCTACTCTTCGTTGTGGTGTGCGGGCTTCTCATTGCGGTGGCTTCTCTTGTTGCGGAGCACAGGCTCTAGGCGTGTGGGCTCAGTAGCTGTGGCTCACAGGCTCTAGAGCGCAGGCTCAGTAGTTGTGGCACGCGGGCTTAGTTGCTCCACGGCATGTGGGATCTTCCCGGACCAGGGCTCGAACCCGTGTCCCCTGCATTGGTAGGCACATTCTTAACCACTGCGCCACCAGAGAAGTCCTGAGTATCTGTCTTTTTAATATTCTATGTGACAAAGTGAGAAGTACACATAGAGCATTTATGCTGCATGTGAAAAGCTGATCTGCAGGAAAAGCACTTCTGACATTGTTTGAGTTGTGAGCTGAAAAAGCCACGTTTTTCATGGAATACTGTTTTATTTGAAAGAATGGCTGACATCTTTACCAACTATATATCTTGTGTGGGACTGGATTTTCTTCATTTACTTAAACCAAAACACCGTACAGTAACAGGTTGAATGCAAGAGCAGATATGAGAACTGAGTTGCCTTTAATTAAACCAGACAGTAAAGAGATTTGCAAAAAATGTAAAACAATGCCACTCTTCTCTATTTTTGGAAAATAGTTATTTTTCATACAAACATATTGTTAATTAACCTGTAATGGATTATTATTTTGAAATGTATCATAAATATTTTAAAAATTTCTCAGTTTTAATCTTAGTACAGTATCAATAGATATCACCAACAGATAGAAAGTTTTTTGGGGTTCTGAGTAATTTTTTAAATTATGAAGGGGTCACGAAACAAAAATGTTTGAGAACCAGTAGTTTAGAGGAAGAGAGACAAATAATTCTGCTCCTTTTCTGGTGATATTGCGAGTATTCAGTTGCCTTTCAATCATTCATTCAACATTTACTTGGTGAATATGACTTAATTTGCTAAGCATTGTGCTAGACACTGGGGATTGAGATGAACCACTTTTTCTGTCCTTGAGCACTCACAGTGGGGGAAATAGACATGACAGCAAATTATACTACTACTTGATAATCTCTGTGTGGCATGAATAATGTATTCTGAGGACAGAGCAACTGAACAATTGGCTAAAGGCTGAGAGGGTTTTCCTGGGGAGTTAAAATCTGAGCTAAAACTTGAAGGAATAGTAAAAGGGTGGAGTGTGGACGATGACAGCGTTCCAAGTGAGGAAACTAGCAGGCCTGTGGTCTCCCGGGAAGGGTGAGAGGTCAGCTTGATTAGGAACATCAAAGCGAGAACTGCCTGGGCTTTTCATGAGCCTGAGAAATAGGCAAGAGCTGAATACAAAGTATCTTGTGGTCCAGACAAAGTTTAAATTTTATCCTGCCGGTAACTAGAGGTCAATAGTTTTGAAGTAAAGGATTGCTCTATCTTTGCATTTTATCTTTTTTTGGCTGTGCCACAGGGCATGTGGGATCTTAGTTCCCAGACCAGGGATTGAACCTGTGTCCCTGCAGTGGAAGTGCGAAGTCTTAACTACTGGACCGCCAGGGAGGTCCCTATCTCTGCATTTTAGAAAGGTAACTCTAGTGGCAAAGTCGGAGGATAGATTGGAGAGACTGGAGGTTATAAAGTCCCATTAAACTATGTTGGCTTTTTTTTTTTTTTTTCCGGTACGCGGGCCTCTCACTGTTGTGGCCTCTCCCGTTGCGGAGCACAGGCTCCGGACGCGCAGGCTCAGCGGCCACGGCTCACGGGCCCAGCCCCTCCGCGGCATGTGGGATCTTCCCGGACTGGGGCATGAACCCATGTCCCCTGCATCGGCAGGCGGACTCTCAACCACTGCCCACTGCCAGGGAAGCCCAAATTATGTTGGCTTTGAACTTGAATGGTAAACAAGGCAAGAGGAGATAAAGGAATTGAGAGACATTTCTGAGGTAGAGAATGTACAGACTTTATTGTCCTACTGGACCTGCGAGGTAAGAGAGAAACTTGCAGATAATATTAAAGTTTCAGATTTGGGATGCTGAACATATTGTGGTCTCTAACTCTGATAACTGAGAAAGTAGGTGGTAGGGGTGGTGAGTAATGTCTGCATAGGAGGTGAATATAAGTTATTTTGTTGTTGTTAACCTCACTGTTTATTGAATTGTGAACTGCTGCAAACGCTGCTGAAGTCTCACTCATTGCGACCCCTCTCTCAGCACCCCCTTGAAAAGGAAGCCTGGAGGTGCGTACCTTGGGAACATGTGGGTGTATATATGTCTACAGGGTAATTGGATATAGGGTTGGACTCCAAGCAAGAAATCCGAGTTGTAAATAAAGATGTAGAAGTTGTCAGAATAAGAGTGGTGACTGAAGTCACGTTGGAAGAGCAGGGAGAGTGAT